CAATTATCTATTGATGAGTCCATACGACTGTCAGGCGATGTCTTTGAAAACGTGTTGCAAACCAATGATGTGGTCAAAGCGTTGGCAGATATTGAGCCCTATTGTGAGCACAGTATATATCACTGTTTTATTCGCTCATTATATCTAATTATGACTGCAATGACATCCGTGGAGAAGGTTATTATTTATACCATCATCATTTTCATTTTTAATTTTTAGACAGTTATTCTATTGAATTTAAAATTGATTTTAAAATTATCATTTACATTTGAACAGAAAGACATTGACATTGCTCATCAAGCTGTAAATGATTTAACGAAATTATGCGATAAATATCGCAAAACAGGTCTAATACTTAGCATAGTTAAAATGCTTAAGACACCAAATTATAGTAAATATAATGATGGTAAGTGTTAAAAATTCTAATTATAAATAAATAAATTATAAGTATAAAGTTACTTTAGATTTTCATAATGATATTACTTAATTAATTATGATTACTATAGTTGAAGTGCATGCTGAGTTACTGTATGCATACAGTCTCAAACTCAGTGGTCTAGTGTTGGCCATTGAGACCAATAATATCTATGCACTCATTAAACTTGCCTATCGTTGGCAAAAATATGTTAAACATTTGAGGTAACATTAATTTTTAAATATGTTAACAATTATATTTTTATGACAAATGCTATTTAGTAACAATTAATGTTACCTTAAATTAAAGTTATTGTAAAACAATATTAAAAACTCGTTCCCAATGGGAAAGCGAAACATCGAGAGTGTATTTTGAGAGCGCCGTACGACTGAGCAATGGTATTGCCCATTTGACCATCAGTAATATACCGCCTAAAATTTTACGCCTTATCAACTTCTTGGGCATACGGGGTGTTGAAAGTGTTGGTTGGGGACAAATTAACAAGGTGGCATTTGAACTACCAAGTTTGTTTGGTCAATTGGCCAGATTGTTCAAATTACTATACTGGACGTACGCCGATACACACGCTGGTATCGGACCCGTAAACGCCGAGATATGCGGCCAACTAATGGACACCGAGCTGAGAAAGTATCCGAAAGTAATTACATAATTACATAACTTTATATATTTTAATTTAACCATTCAAATTAATTGATTAATTATTTAAATAACTAATCACCACTGTTTACATGAATATAATCAAATTTTGCAGAATTTAATGTTAAATATATTTGGTTCAAAATTGGATCAAATAAATGGTAAGATCGATGTGGCCATAGACTCGTACCACAGACTACTGAATGATCCGCACGTGACGCCACGAAGATTCATATACTTTGAGCTAACGTGGTGTTATGCGCTGCAATCTGATTGGCCAAGGTGCATTAAATACGCCGAAAAATTTCGCACCACCAGCTTTTACACTCCGGCCATCGCCACGTATATGGAGGCTGTGTTTCGGTACACGGAATGGACCATAACTGATGAGTCCGTGGCTAAAGACAAGGCCACAGAATTGTTCAAGTAAGTTTTAAGACATTCAATTAAGATAATTTAAATTAACAATCTTAACCAATCACATTTTGTGGTAAGACTGGTGCCGACTTTGCGTATACGACATTTGGGTAAAACTATTACACCGGAAAAGGTGGCGGTTGTGAGCGCTCAGAATTATATCAAAAACGGGGAACTCTTGATTTTACCGGACGTGGTTTGTTGCTTAAGTTTAGGTTTTACCTTGAACAGTCCCAACCCAGATTTTCCAGGCACAAAAAATGCTATTATTAATTAGATGTGATTATTGAATCATCAAGTTAATTTTTGAACTATTGTTCACTATAAACGTTACAAGCTTTTAGTCATTTGGTGCCTCATTTTTAATACTAAATAGTAAACATTAATATTTGTGATGTTCAAACCCCATTCACAATGATTGTTTACTTTATATATGAATAATATAGTAATAGTACATAAATGACCTTTTCTATTATAAATGCTATGTGTAAGCCGGTGTAAATTCTGGAAATACTAGGTCCCAACACATAAGTCCTATCTTTAGCTTTAAAATTGTTTGAAAGTTATTTAGAAAATTTAAATCTTAAAATATATTTATTTATGTTTTAGGCCATATTATATGATCTAAACTACTTGTCGCTTATAAGAGGCGATACCGTATTGTTGAACAGCTTTATGGACCGCATTACTGAATGCGAATTGAAATACCAATGTGACATAGGTACTTTTTGTGAAACAACGTATATTAACATGCATAAATTCTTAAATTAATATTAATAAATTTTGTTAAATTAATAGACTCATCAAACTACCTGGATAATTATCTGATAGCTATATTTTATAAGGGAGTTGTGTTTAGACTAATGTCTAACTTTAAAAAGGCGACCGAATGTCAGCAAATTATTATTGATAAGTAAATGATTGTTATATAAATTTAAACAAAAATTACATAGTACCGTAAATAAATATGATAAAATATGACTTAATATTATATATTTCTGTTAGCGAACCGCGAATTGGGGGACAGTTTTCACTGCCGGCTCAGGCGGTCCTCGAAATGGGTTTAATTGAATACGAGATGAAAAATACTGAAAAAGCAATCGATTTGCTTAACAAATGTATTAACGAATACACGGGTTATCTAAACGAGAATTACGTTCACTTTAAGGCGTTTACAGCCCTCAGAGGTCTGGGAGTGTGTAATACAAAACAGGCCGACGACGAGCACCTCTGTATGTTATTGGATATTTTTGCATTAATTCTTGAGTGTTTATATTTTAATTTATATTAATTTAATTAATATTTAACATTATTTGTCATCCCATTTACTTTAGTGGAAGAATATAAGAAACAATGGCTTAAAGACATAAACATTGAGCAAAAAAGTTATGATAAAGTGGTAGAGATTGAGGACAAGAATGAAATTTAAGGGAAAAATAAATGGTTGTGACAATTGATTGTGACAATTGAAATAATAAATTTAGATATTTTCAAAACGACAATTATATATATTGAAATTTTAATAAAGTATTTCACAATAGTATTAGCGGTTATTAATTTATAACTTAATTTATAATAATTAATCAAGATTTGTTAACAAAAATACACACAAATAATGCTTTGAATGCATTGCAATCTCTTTATAATGAACGGACGTTTCAGGGGTTAGTGTAGGGCTAATGAAGAGAGTTCTTTAAGAAGTTCATATGTGTAGTATTTTCAATTTTGTTAATAGATGATTTATATTAATTATACATCATTAATTATTAAAATTTGCTTGATATTTAAATTAATTAATTAAAAGTTGATAATTTTATAGTTTTATTATAATTAAATAATATTTCCTTATAAATTAAACACTTGAAACATTAAAGTTGTTTTTATAACAATTAATAATAGTTTATTAGCAAACTATCACAGTTTTGTATAAAATTTTATTTAAAATGTCCCTCAATACAGTTGCAAAAATAGCTTCTGTATAAAACTTTATTATAATATTGTCAATAATACTAAAATACATTAAATTAACAAAATTAAATAAAATTTCAATTATTGACTATAATTTCCTTTTCCTCGGTTTCCATCAATTGGTCGTATGTTTTCTTCTTAATATTCATACTATTAAGCCATTGATTCTTATATTCTTCCACTAAAACTCAAAATATATATAATTATAGATCAATTGAACACCAAATTCAATAGTGATTGTAATAAAAGTCATACATTTGTTGTCGTCCTCCGAGTGTTTCTCTACACCGACGCCGAGCTCTCTGAGTGCGGCAAACGCCCGGAGGTGGACATAGTTCTCGTTCAGATAACCCGTGTATTCGTTAATGCATTTGGTTAGCAATTCGACGGCCTTTTCGTGGTTTTTCATTTCGTATTCAATTAAACCCATTTCAAGCGCCGCCTGAGCCGGCAGTGAAAACTCTCGTCCAATCCGTCCATCACTTAATGTTAATAATATTAATGATAATAATTAATAAATTTTAATATACAAAAATATATAAAAGTATGTAGAATAAAAATATGTAGAAAAATATATTATGAATAGTTAACATACTTTGCGATAATGACATCCATACATTGTTTGGCTTTTGTGTAGTCAAACAATAATTTAGAGACCACACCCTCTAGATATTTAGCCATCAAATAGTTGTCCAAATAATCACTTCCAGCTGATAGGAGGCAATAATTACATTAATAAAATCTTAAAAAATTATAAAACTTTTATAAAAAAAAGATTATATTTCTAAATCGTATATTATAAAAATTATATAATATAATACATACTGAGATCGCTCTGGTATTTCATCAATTCCTTATTAATCCGATCCATAAATTTGGATAACAATAGTTTATCGCCTCTAATAAATCGCAACAAATTTAACTCGTATAACACTTCCTTCACAATAAAATATAGTAACTTTAGATCAAATCATTTAGTAATCACAGAAAATTAAAAATAATCTCTAATTTATATTAAAGTAAAATATTCTTGGATAAAAGATAATGTTTTCATTAGTGAATGCAATACAGACCACATCCGGCAAAACCAACATATGATTGCATTTCAAGTATTTCTCCGATCGGACGACAGCCAACTTTTCCGGTGTTATTGTTTTGCCCACATGTCTGATACGTACTGTCGGCACAATCCTATGAGTAGATATTAAATACAACATGATCATTAAATTATAAAACAAAAATTACAACTTTAATAATTAATAATTACTCAAATAGTTGTGTCGCTCTCTGTTTTTCCACCAAATCGTTTGTCTCGACATACTTTACGTACCGAAACACGGCTTCAATGAAAGTGGCCATCGCTGGCGAATACATACTACCCGTGCGGAACAGCTCGGCGTACTCTATGGCCCGGTCTATATCGCCTACGAGTGCGTAACACCACATCAGCTCGAAGTACATCACCCTTTTGGGCGTCAGGTGTCGATCGGTGAGCAAGTTTTGGTAGGCGTCGATAGCCGGTCCGATTCGGCCGTTTAATTGCAACAATTTTGTGTTGTATATGTTTAGCATTAAATTCTGTGTTCAAAATGCATTAGAAAATTCATTTTTAGAAATGTTACTTATTTTCTGATATTTTACTAAAATTATACACACTTTAGGATACTTTTCTAGCTGTATGTCGAGTAATTTTTGACAATTATCCACGTTCAGGGGCCCTAGACATAGGTGCGGCTCAATGTAGCTCCAATAAAATACGCGACCCAGTCGGGCCAGTTCGCTAAACAAGCCTGGTAGTTTATATGCTGCCGTATCAATATTATACCATCCGATACTCTCACTACCGCTGATGCCTATAAAGTTGATGACTTGTAGTATTTTTGGTGGTATATTACTTATGATCAAATTCATGAAACCATTGGCCAGACGTACGGCCGCCTCGTATTGCTGTTTAGACGCCTCACTCTCCCAATGGGTTCGCATTTTACGCACTTTATTGGCGTGACTTTAGTTTGCAAAACAATATTGTAATTTGTTTTATAGAATTACAATTATATACAAGAAAAGCATTTATAATTTACCGGAAATTGTTGCGAAACTTATGCAAACGATAAACAACTTTGATTAACGCAAACACATTATGCGTTTCTATGGCTAATGTGAAAGCACTCAACGCATAGCCGAATGAATGAAGCAAATCGGAGTGCAATTCAACTGTAATTTATAATTTTAAATATTAAAATTGTGAATAATTGTATCATAATACTATTTTATTATCTAACCATCGGTATACTTATTGTAATCGGGAGTTTTAATCATCTTCATTAAACTTGTCATAATACCAGTTCGGCGATATTTATTGGTAATTTTTACCATGTTCTCAATGCTTTTGTTTGCATTTTGAACATCGTCCTTTATTTGGAAAATGCATCACATTAATTTTGATTTTATAAAATTTTTTTGTTTACATTACCTTTTCCATAGTTATGAGTGCTATCAAAACGTTGAACAAACTTCTGACATAACTATGATAAACACTGCGCTCACAATTGGGTTCAATAGTAGCCAACGCCTCCTCCACTCCGTTAGTCCGCATCACGTCTTCAAATACTTTGTTAGCCATACGTATGGACTCATCGATCGACAAATGATCGCTAAATATACATATGATTTATTTTTAGATAAAAGTCTGCTATAATTATTTAGTTTTAATATGTTTACATACTTTTTCTTAGTAGCCTTATCCTCACTATTATTATTCATATTGTTTTTATAGAAATTGAAATGTTTTGTCAATCAAAAAGTTAAAAGTTTATTTTTAAGAATATTATTATAATTTTAAAATAAAATAAATGTTAATAATGTATTTATAAAAATATTATTTCTAATATTTTAATGCAAAATATTTTTATAGTAAATGAGATTTATTATTATCATTATTTCATATAAAAATGTAATATTTAAAATATAAACTATGTATTGATAATTTGCATTGTTATTTCCTTGTTTGTAATTTACGTACAAATAGGAAAATTGGATTTTTCACTTCTTGAATATTAATTATAAATTAATTAACATTTATAATTAGAAGGACATTAATATTGGGATTATTATATTTTTGTGGAAAATTATTTTTATTGAATCATCAAATAAATGTTATGCTAATAGTAGAAATACTATGCATTAAATGCAGTTAACCATGGTATATATAATTAGAAGGACATTAATATTGGGATTATTATATTTTTGTGGAAAATTATTTTTATTGAATCATCAAATAAATGTTATGCTAATAGTAGAAATACTATGCATTAAATGCAGTTAACCATGGTATCTGTTGCTATTGTTAATAACAATTGTTAATTGACAATTTGGCAATTGGTACTGTTAGAAATTAATAATTGCAAATGTTATTGTGAAATACTTTATTAAAATTCCAAAATGTGTAATTTGTTGTTTTGAAATATCTAAATTTATAATTTCAATTTACTTTTTCACAGCCATTTATTTTTCCTTTAATTTCATTCGTGTCTTCAATCTCTACCACTTTATCATAACTTTTCTGATCAATGTTTATGTCTTTAAGCCATTGTTTCTTATATTCATCCACTAAAGTAAATGGGACGACAAATAATGTTTAATATTAATTAAATTACAATTAAATTATGATTAAAATATAAGCACTCAAGAATTAATGCAAACATATCTAATAACATACAGAGGTGCTCGTCGTCGGCATGTTTTGTATTACACACTCCCAGACCTCTGAGGGCTGTAAACGCCTTAATGTGAACATAATTCTCGTTCAGATAACCCGTGTATTCGTTAATACATTTGTTAAGCAAATCAATTGCTTTTTCAGTGTTTTTCATCTCGTATTCAATTAAACCCATTTCGAGGACCGCCTGAGCCGGCAGTGAAAACTGTCCCCCGATTCGCGATTCGCTGTTAGAAATATATAATTATAAGTCATATTTAATCATATTTAATTACTATGTAATTTTTGTTTAAATTTATATAACAATCATTTACTTATCAATAATAATTTGCTGACATTCGGTCGCCTTTTTAAAGTCGGACATTAGTCTAAACACAACTCCCTTATAAAATATAGCTATCAGATAACTATCCAGATAGTCTGATGAGTCTATTAATTCGACAAAATTTATTAATGTTCATTTAAGAATTTATGCATGTTAATATACGTTGCCTCACAAAAAGTACCTATGTCACATTGGTATTTCAATTCGCATTCAGTAATGCGGTCCATAAATTTGTTCAACAATACGGTATCGCCCCTTATAAGTGACAAGTAGTTTAGTTCATATAATATGGCCTAAAACATAAATAAGTAAACATTAAATAAAGTAAACATTTATATTTTAAGATTTAAATTTTCTAAATAACTTTCAAACAATTTTAAAGCTAAAGATAGAACTTATGTGTTAGGACTATTCAAGGTAAAACTTAAACATTAGCAACAAACCACGTCCGGCAAAATCAAGAGTTCCCCGTTTTTGATATAATCCTGAGCCCTCACAACCGCCACCTTTTCCGGTGTAACAGTTTTACCCAAATGTCGTATACGCAGTGTCGGCACCAGTCTTATCACAAAATGTGATTGGTTGCAATTGTTAATTTAAATTACCCTAATTGAATGTCTTAGAACCTACTTGAACAATTCTGTGGCCTTGTCTTTAGCCACGGACTCATCAGTTATGGTCCATTCCGTGTACCGAAACACGGCCTCCATATACGTGGCGATGGCCGGAGTGTAAAAGCTGTTGGTGCGAAATTTTTCCGCGTATTCAATGCACCTTGGCCAATCAGATTGCAGCGCATAACACCACGTTAGCTCAAAGTATATGAATCGTCGTGGCGTCACGTGTGGATCACCCAGTAGTCTGTGGTACGAGTCTATGGCCACATCGATCTTACCGTTTATTTGATCCAATTTTGACCCAAATATATTTAACATTATATTCTGCAACATTCATATAAACAGTGGTGATTAATTATTTGAACAATTAATTAATTATTTGGAATTGTCAAATGAAAATATATACAATTAGGTAATTACTTTCGGATACTTTCCCAGTTCAGTGTCCATTAGTTGGCCGCATATCTCGGCGTTTACGGGTCCAATACCGGCGTGTGTATCGGCGTACGTCCAGTATAGTAATTTAAACAATCTGGCCAATTGACCAAACAAACCTGGTAGTTCAAATGCCACCTTGTTAATTTGTCCCCAACCAACACTTTCCACACCCCGTATGCCCAAAAAGTTTATTATGCGTAGGATTTTAGGCGGAATATTACTGATGGCCAAATGTGCAAAACCACTGCCCAGTCGTACGGCGCTCTCAAAATAAACTCTCGATGTTTCGCTCTCCCATTGGGAACGAGTTTTCAATATTGCTTTACAATAACTTTAATTTGAGGTAACATTAATTGTTACTAAATAGCATTTATCATAAAAATATCATTGTTAACATATTTAAAAATTAATGTTACCTCAAATGTTTGACATATTTTTGCAAACGATAAGCAACTTTAATGAGTGCATAAATATTATTGGTCTCAATGGCCAACACTAGACCACTGAGTCCGAGGCTGTATGTATACAGTAACTCAGCATGCACTTCAACTATAGTAATCATGATTAATTAAGTAATATTATTAATAAAATATATTTATAATTATAATTTTCAGACACTTACCATCAGTATATTTACTATAATTTGGTGTCTTAAGCATTTTAAATATAGTAAGTATTAGACCTGTTTTGCGATATTTATTGCATAACTTGGCCAAATCATTTACAGCCTGATGAGCATGATCAATGTCTTTCTGTTCAAATGTAAATGATAATTTTTAAATCAATTTAAAATCCAATAGAATAAATGTTTCAAAATTTAACATCAAAATGATTAAATCAAATAACCTTCTCCACGGATGTCATTGCAGTCATAATTAGATATAATGAACGAATATAACAGTGATATATACTGTGCTCACAATAGGGCTCAATATCTGCCAACGCTTTGACCACATCATTGGTTTGCAACACGTTTTCAAAGACATCGCCTGACAGTCGTATGGACTCATCAATAGATAATTGATTGCTAGAAAATAACGGGAAATATTGTTTTTCTAATAAACTTTATTTTGAACTACAATGTAGTAAATTAAGGATACAGACCTTTTCATGTTGTATTATTCTAGATATTTATATTAATAATATCATAAACAGATCTGCAGGCTAAAGATATAATTTGCAATAACTGAATATAACTAATCTATAAAGTTTTTATGCAAACTATTTTATAATTTACTGGAGTGTACTCTATGTACTAATACTTATCTTTTGTAATTAATTGTCTTTATATTAACGTATTTAATTTGTTATATTTTAAAAAGTTTAATTAAACTAGTATAATTAGTTATAATTTAAAACAAAATGCTGATACATAATAAATGAAATTAAATTAGTATTATTAAAACAAAATACTTATTATACTAATTGTCTATTTATGCATCAATAATTTTGATTGTAATACACGTATACTATTAAAGATTGATAAATGTGTTTGAAATAATTCATTATATTTTCTATTGCAAGAATTAAATTTATATAATCAATCTTTATTAAATAATTACGACTTTTATTTTAAAAATGTCTTATAATTTTTATGGATTTAAATATATATTTATTGCTTGGTTCAAACAATACTTGTTTTATAAAAATTTTCCTTATGCGGTTGAAATATTTATAAATTAAATCAAAGTTTATGTTGTATTTGAAGGATAGTACAATTAACAATTATAACAAAAATAATAATTAGCATAATATAATAAGCACAATATTGTAGAATTAAAAGTTGAAAAAATTCAGTTTTAATGTTTAATTAAAAATTTCAAGAATAATCTAATTAAAATTTGAAAATCTCAATCTTAAGACCATTATGAATGAACTTTAAACATGTTCATTTCCAATTAAGATTAGTCTCATATATTTATTCATAAATTAAAATTTAATACAATAAATATAGAATAATACTAATAACTATATTATAGATATAAAATAAATTTAGTTTAATATATTCGTTGCATTAGTAATGAGATCTTCTTTCTCTTCAATTTCAACAAACTTTTGGTAATTTTCCTTTTTTATGTCAATCTCTTTAAGCCATTGTTTTTTGTATAATTTTTCTAAAAATATATAGAATTAGTTAATTGATATTTAAAATAAATATTAAAAGCGTAAAAAAACTATATGGATAGTTTGTAAATTATACTGTAATCAATAATTCTATAATTAAGTTAATTTAAGATTAATGTAATATAGTACAATGTTATACTATTTATAATTTTGTTTCAAAAAATGTATGCAAAATATTATTAAAACCTTACTTTTCTGGTCGTCGACCTCCGGAGCCTCACCGACGGCTCCCAACTCTCTGAGCGCCGCATAGGCTCTGATGTGTACAAAGTTTTCGTTCGGATAACTCGTGTAATCAGTCATACATTTGTTCAACAGTTGAGTCGCTTTTTCAGCGTTTTTCAGATTGCATTCAATTAATCCCAACTCCAGTACTGATTGTGCGGGTAATGAAAACTCACGACCAATACGTGAATCACTTATTATTGTATTCAAAATGAAATTGATTTTAAATTAAACTCTTTTTTGTTTAATAATTTAATTACTTGTCAATAATAAAATCCATGCATTCCTTTGCTTTTTCATATTCACCCATAAGTCTATGGATAACACCTTTAAAATACGTGGCCATTAAATAGTTATCCAGAT